GACTTCGTACCAGGAGCATCTAATATACCAAATTCAACACCATTCACAACTTTAATTGCTTGATCATTGTTATTTTTAAAATAATCTTTTAGCAAACTGGAGTAAGTAGACCAAATTCGCTGAACTCCTCTATTTGTTATAAAAACTTTGACCAATAGGACAATGAAATCAAAATTAAACCAGGAGACACGTTTCTCCAGTACCCCAAATAACTGATTCATTGATTTAATTCCGTCATACTCTTCTCGTAATCTATCAATGAAGTGGTGCTTACGAAAACGTGGACTCAGTAGATTAATAATGTGGTACTTGATATAATCGATTACTTTAGGAAGAGTATTTCTTTTAAGGGAGAGAAATGCTTCTTTGGTTTTATAAACGTTAGAAGCATATAATCTTTGTAGCTCATCAATCTGCTTCAATATGTCATTAACAGGAAACTCTTTTGATTTTCCACTAGCATATGTAGCTTTAGTATCAGGTGAAGTAGGAGGTGCCTGTAATTCTTTATTTGGGGTAACTTCTATAAATTGATAATAAAATTGTGATTCACTTTTCATATACATACCTCTGGAAGATGAATCAGTATCTACTGGTGACAGAGGTTGCCGCTCACTGCTTTTGGAGTATTCTTCAGCTATTTTATCAGCTAAGGCAGGATTTGCTCCACCACTCTCACTTCTAATACAATTACAGAGCATTCGTAATGTAGGAGCACCACTACTTTGATCGCAATCCTTTCTTAACCAACATTCAAAAACTTTTCTCAAACATGTTTTTGGTGGTTTGCCCTCTGCTTCAATCTCATCCAACTTGTTAGGACTGAGGCCTAACAAAATGCCAATTGAGTCCCAGTGTCCAGAAAGACGACCTGCCTTTTCCCAGACCAAACGAAAATCGTTGATGCCTAGACATGTACATGTACGTGCAAAGTGATAAGTCAATAAAATGTATATACATGTATCATACTTACCAAGCTCTTTGTCAAGGGTTGTTGTTTCTGCTGTGCTCGACATGTACGGGAGAAGAAAGAACAGAACACTAAAAAAACATGTAGATCTACAGGCCACAGGGCAATGCCGCGCGCAATGAAGATTAGGCACGCCCACTGGTACTCCTCCAGGCCAGACAAGTATCTAAGTTTCCTGTGAGCTGTCAAAAGGTTGCACTGTGGACTGTTTGAAGTGTATCTTTATAATCAAGTAAAACCGGAACATTACTTGCTACCTTTTATTAGCAATTTTAAAAGTGCCAATCTTGTTGATTTGTAACAATGCAGTTTTGTTTTAAAAATTACTAGTACAGAGAATTATGTGTGTATAAGTGATGGAAAGAGTGAAGAAAAGAAGAGTTAATAAATTCAGAGTTAGAAGAAAATAAAGATTTTGATTCAAATCTAATGAGAGTGACAGAGAGAGCAGAGAAATTGTTATTACATGAAGTCAATGAAAAATGAATTCAAAAAAGAGGAACAACAATTAAAACATAAATAATAATAATAATGACATGAAAATACAAGAGAGAAATAATATAGAGTCGATGAATAGAAGAGAGCTAA